GGCTCAGTGGTTGGAGCATCGTCCTGTCCACCGAAAGGTTTCAGGTTCCGTTCCCAGTCAGGGCACACGCTTAGGTTGTGGGTTCCATCCCTGGTCGGGAAGCATGTGGGAGACAATGGCTCAAGGCTTTTCTCTCTCCCTCCTCTCCCCAAAATCAATAAAAACATCCTTGGGTGAGGATTTTTGAAAACACACAACTGGCACTTGCAATTCCAAAGCCCTCCGGAATTCTGTCCTCTCTGAACAAACTACATTATCAACGCTTTGACCCAACTGGCCCTCTTCACAGAACCACTGGGGTGTCCAGGGGGAATCAACCTTGCCGTGTGCGCCCGGCTTACGACTGCTTCTCCACACACACCAGTCACTCACGGCCCCGTGTGCCAGCGCCTCAATGGACCGGCCACAATGGACCGAGTTCTATTTATGACCGAGGCGACGCGAGTTCTCACTCCCACCCCAGGCCTTGCTTCCAAACCTGCGCCAGCTCTGCGGGCAGCCGTTGGTTTATTACATAAACGCCGAGTTAGACTTCCCGGCCAGCGGGGCTTCTCGGCGGGGCGTGGAGAGGAAACGGGATTATTGCTGCTTCCGTGCACCCGCGTTCTCACCACCAGAGCCGCGGCAGGGGCCGCAGGGGCCGCAGCAGGGGAGCGGGCCCGGAGGCGGACTGCTCCCCCTCCCCTGCACCCAGTCCAGGGTTAAAAACCATCCTAACTGCTCCAGCCCAGCATCTTCCCAACCAGGATGCACTAACACTAGACGGGAACAAAGGGCTGCCGTTTCCCCGGTGGAGGAGTCGTCGGAGGAAAGCGAGAACTGGCAGCACCCCCTCTTCGGCACCGAGCCCGTCCTCCCGACCAGCCCCCTCTCGGGAGCGGGAGGCGGCGGGCGCGGGGACAGCCGCCCCCCAGCTCTCCTGCTGTCGTCACGGATGACATCCTCCTCTCTGATGACAACAGCCGCGCCATCTCAAAGAGCCACAAGCACGGCTCGAGGGGTCCTTACCCAGCAGCTGCTCAGACTTCTCCCCAAGCTCCTCGGCTGAGACCCCGGCTATGCCAACTGCTGGGTATTTTTAGGGTAAATTCTCAGGTACTGGAAAAACAAATGCATTCGATTGGCTTTTCTAAAAAGATCACTTCCTACAGACTCCTTCCTGACCAGGCCTCACGGCACATGCTAAACTCTGACGTGGAAAACAGCCTTTCTCCCCACGGGCGTGAGAGCAGAGAGAGCAGGTTCCGTTCTACATCTTTCTCGAATAGACGAGGCCAGCGATTAGCAAACCCTCTAAGATACAGTCGCTCTCCTGGGTGTGTGTCTGTCTGTCTATCCGTCTTACAATGGCCTCAGCAGGACCAGGGCCCGGGCAGGTCCCCAGGAAGCGAGCACAGAGACGTTCACGTCGGGTCTAGTCCCATCTTTCTCACTCGGTTTCCTGGGCCGACAGCGCAGGCCACGCAGCAGCAGCTCGCAGTCCGGACAGAGCAGCCTGCTCAGTGGTCAGGCCCCGCACGGTGGTCACGACTTAGAACTCCCTCGTTTCCTGGTTACGGAGCCCTCTGCCGTCTGCGCTGGAAAGGAAGATCTCTCACCAGCCCTCCAGGGAACGTGCTCGGGGCGCCCGCAGTCACTCATTCGGCTCGGACCCTCCTCTCAGAGGCCCATGGGGAGCGGCATTCAGCTCGGAGGGAGCCGGGGCCTGGGAATTCGAGGAGGTTCATTTCTATGCCCCCAACAGAGGGAGCCATCAACTGACCAAAGAATCTCACCCTCTTCTTTACTTTCCTAACAAGCTGCATGTGTGTATGAATGAATTAGCACCCATTTTCTTCAATTAACTGTTAATAAAACATGCTCACGTGCTCCCCCTCCTCCTCAGAACAACTGTTTCCTGCCCAACCGAGACATGGCAAGGGCTTCCCCACTCTCCCTACCCCCCCCCCCCCACACACACACCATGCACTTGTCCCCCAACCCATCAGGCTGATCCCCACAGCCAAGCCCAGGGAACGCCCGCCCTTGGGGAAAGTGCGGGGGCCAGCACTGCCTCCCCCAAGCACTGATGAGCCTGCGCACACAGGCCCCTGCCCGAAGGCGGCGGGCTGTGTGGGCACACACCGGCTCCCAGGCACACATGGGAGGCGGTGGGCTGTGTGGGCACACACCGGCTCCCAGGCACACAAGGGAGGCGGCGGGCTGTGTGGGCACACATTGGCTCTCAGGCACACACGGGAGATGGAAGGCTGTGTGGGCACACATTGGCTCCCAGGCACACACGGGAGATGGCGGTCTGTGTGGGCACACATTGGCTCTCAGGCACACACAGGAGTCCGGCCCGGGGTTCCCGATGGACCTGTCACCAGCTTTGGCTTTTTCCGCTGTGGCCTCCCAGACACATCAATACGCAAAACAATAGGACTTAGGAGAACATAACTCAGAGTCCATTAACATAAGCAGGATACGCTGTTTCTTCAGCCAGCAATTTAAGAAAAATTACTTCAAAGCCAAATAAAGGTTCATTACTGACACGAGTTCCTGAAAAATAAAGGTCTCCGGTAGCCTCTGCGAGGCAGTGTCAGAAATTAGAGAACGAAGACTCAGGACTGAGACACATCACCCACACAGACTGGGGTTCCTGCACCCACCCTCCTACCCCGAAAGCTGCGCCCGTGACGGAGGAAGGAGGCCGCGTCCTGCAGCGACAGGGACTCATTCGCCAAGAGCCAGGCTTATTCTCAAAGGGCTTCGGTCGAGCTGCCGGGCAGTGGCAGGTTTTCTCACCACAAACGCCGGTCCCCAGAGCGGCGCTAAGGGCACCGGCCTCACACAGCGTCTGAAAGCGTCTGTGGGTTAATCGGCGCAGCCACCGTGCAGGCCCGGAGCCTCCGGAGGGGCCTGTGCAGTAACAGCAGCAAACTAAGGATCTGTAAGGCTGCCCGGAGGAATCTCCTTTGCGTTTCAAACAAGTTTCCCCAAAATAAGAGCCTTTTGATGAAATGAAATTCCGATCCCACCTCCTTCTCCGGAGAAAACAGCCCTCGTTGGGGAGCCACTGCCGGTCTCCAGCCCCCACACAGCTGTGACTGACCCCCACGTCTCCGTCGGCACCGTTTTCGCCTCGCTCGGTAACCCGGCGGCATTGCCTGGCTGGCTGGAAAGCTGGCATTATTGGAAAATACTGACTGTTAGCGTTTTGGGACTTTCCGTTTGTTTTGATTTCAAGTTCTGAGGGGCTTCCAGCGGGATTCACCTGGTAAGATACTCCCCTTTCTAACCATACCCACAGCTCCCGTCCCCCAAACCCTCACCTCCACACCAGACAGCTCACCCATCAGAGACCCGAGGAGCTCCCAACACAGGCCACTCCCAGCTCATAGTGACTGCAGCCCAGCGCCCCAGTGGTCACCGAGAAAGCCCAATCTGTTAGGCTGGCGCTTTACAAAAGCATATACTTAACAGCTCAAAATTCCAAGAAAGTACTCATACTATTATCATATTTGAAATCAAGGATTGTAATGTGAAAAGCCAACAAAGACACATCTCCATAAATTAAAAACTACATGTTTCTGGTCTAAGATCCCATGTCTAGTCTGTAAAATCAACACTATTTTAAGTTTAAAAACATATTTTAATTTCTCACTTTTTAAATGTTTAAAAGTAAAGCTTTTCAAAAAACGTTATTTATGTTTATGTAAATGTCTTCAGTTATCTTGTGCAAGGCAGGCAGTAATTTTATTTTATTTATTTTTTTTAAAATATGTTTTATTGATTTTTGTACAGAGAGGAAGGGAGAGAGATAGAGAGTTAGAAACATCAATGAGAGTCATCGATCAGCTGCCACTTGCACACACCCTACTGGGGATATGCCCGCAACCAAGGTACATGCCCCTGACCGGAATCGAACCCGGGACCCTTCAGTCGCAAGCCGACGCTCTATCCATTGAGCCAAACTGATCCCAGCCAGGCAGTAATTTTAATGGTTGATTAATATGCTCTTAATCAAACCACCTTCCCTGCTCACACGTGTCAAGAGTAACTTCCTCGGCCTCCAGGGGCTGAGGCCCCAGGTCCTGACTGGGTCGGTCCTGTAAGGCGAGCGGGGAGAGCCCCTGCACAGATGGACACGGGCTGGAAGCAGAGCAATCCAATAACCGCCAACCTCGCTGACAGCGTTTCTAAGGCGCATCCTTCCTCCCCCCTGAGCTGGGCAGAACTGCAGGCCTGTCAGCGCCCGAGAACAGCCCGATCCACCCTGCAGAACTGCTGATCGGAGAAGCAGGAAGCAGGAGACCTGCCTGGGAACCCTGGGAAGACTCAGTAAGACAAGAGAACACAGAAAAGATAAGGTACGTAACAGAGCATGGTGCAGGCCGGTACCGGTACCTTAGCCGTCTTTCTATTTGCTCACCTGCTTCCTATTGTCCCTCACAGCGGAGAGTGCCCCCTGCCACAAAATGCCGCCTCAATTATTTTCTGGTCAACTGATATGATCCTGGAGTTTGTGTAACTATAAACATGAAGGCTAGAGGTTTTCTCAGATATTAAACAATTTTTTTTAAATAACCACCATCCAACCCAAAATAGTAGGCTCATGATGTTTGTCTACTCGGACAGAACACTAATAAAGTTGTTTTGCTTATCATTCTGGCCCTGGAATAGTTTGGAAATCTTAACACAGAGCCATCTTCAATTCACCATTCCCAGGGCACAAAAGTCAGGAATGCAGGCTTTCTGTAAATCCATTTACTGCTTTCAAGCTGTCAACTGGTCAGCAGGTACAGGACAGTGTTTTAATCAAGAAGAAAAATATTTACATTTCAAACACAGAGAACATTTGGAGTTTCGCTGGCTGGCTCAGGCTGCCGCCGCACGCCCAGGCCCTGCGTCCGCGCCATGTGCAGCCTGTGTACTCACTGAGCGGTCACGGCGCCTGCATCTCCTCCCGTTGGTGCTGTGGCTTCCCTAACAGCTCTGCGCATGGCCAGCGGAAAACCTCACGTTTTTTGGAAAACCAATGCAGCCACAGTGTTTCCAGACCGGCCTCCAAAGCTGAACTTGGGTGTTGGCAACACTTCGAAAAGTTCAAATCCTGCCAGACAAAATCCAAACACTCTTATTAGGACTGAATTGCAGTTAGCAGCAGCCGTGTGAACAGTGGACTTCAAACCCTTTATAGAACTGCGATTCCACTCGGAATGTGACGGCATTCCCAGTTCTCCTGCCCGTAAGCAATGAGTCTTCACCCGGGACACTTTGACTTGAACAAGAAACAGACCAGACTGAAAACCACCGCAGAGGAGGCTTCTCAGGCACCCGTTCCTCCGCCTCCCGGGCCGGCCCGTCCCCTCGCACCCCTGTGCCGGCGCCACCTGCTCACTCAGTTGTAAGAAAGACAAGTTCCTTGGACATTAAGTTAGAACATCTAGTATCTGCCAAATGTTTCAAGGAATCCTCATCAGATCAAATGACAGCACTAACGTCTACATAACCAGGCTGTAAAGGAGAAATGCAAATTCGTTTCAGTGGTTTGGTGAACATTTATGTTTCCAATAAGGAAGGAACTGTAAAGGCTGGGGAAGCAAGCCTTCCCCTGAGCAAAGGAACCAGGCGCAGGTCCTGAGGCCGTGGGAGGCTGCGCGGGGTGGGGGAGGGCAGGGCAGCTCCCATCCTCCTCCAGACCACGCTCAGAAGAGGCTCTGGCGCTGTCTGCAGTCGGACGTCACTATTTCTCTCTCACTTCCTGTGGCAGCACTGCATTTATTGAATATATATATATATGTTTTTCTTTTACAATGATTTCAGAGAGGAAGGGAGAGGGAGAGAGAAACATCAGTGATCAGATAGAGACGGATCAGCTGCCTCCCGCACACCCCACACTGGGGATAGAGCCCACAACCCGGGAGCGCACCCTTGACTGGAATTGAACCCGGAATCCTTCAGTCTACAGGCTAACGCTTTATCCACTTAGCCACACCAGCCAGGGCCCATTTCGCTTACTAAAATTCCATATTTTGCTCTAAAACGGAACCTGAGTTAGGGACATGGCCAGGAGTTCTCAGCACGAGCCCACAGCATTCTGCCCGCAGGCCTGCTCCTTTCACACACAGGCTGCCGGCCCAGCGCCGCCCGGCACTCACCGGCTGCGGCTTCAGGAGGCGGAAGGAAGGCCTATGGACCCGGCCTGGGCAGTTCGAAAGGAACTGAGCTCCCCGTGGGAGGTAAGCAAGTTAATGACATGAAATAAAGACCGCACGGTCCCACAAACACCTCACTGGCCACTAGAAAGACATATGTATGAAATTAGCACGCATGCAAGGCTTCAGGAACACTGCTTCCGTCTGCACGGCTGCTGGCAGCCAGGGTAAAGGCGGGAGCACAGAGCATGAGCTTTCTTTGTTTGCTTCCAAGTCAAAGATTATGCTGCTTAAAGAACGAACTCCATGTTTATGGGCTCATAAATTTTAGTGCTTAACTGCAGGGATTTCTTGGAAATTTTCACAGGACTCTGGATCCCAACAGTATTACCTCTCTGCTCTTTGCATGTAAGTGAAAAGCATGACCAAGTTATGAACAGAGAAAAGCCGGCAATTCCCACGGACAGGAGTGGAAACGGCAGCACCGGGGAAGCCGGGGGCAGGCCTTACACCGAGGACACACTCCCACAGCACAGCCAGTACCTTCCCGGAACTCGTTCCGCAGCTCCTCCGCGGTCCAGTTGCAGGAGGTGATCAGAAAGAAGCCTTCCGGTCGCAGCACCCTGCAGAGAGAGCTCACGTACTGCCTCCTCTTCTCGGCGGCACCGTCAGGACTCAGGCTTATGGCATCCAAGGTGCCTTTGTCCACGCAGACGTGGAAGCCAGACAGCTCTGCGGGGAGATGCAGGAAGTCCTCCACCTGGATGAGGAACGGGCCGAGATGAGAACCACCGCCACTCCGTCTCCGCCGGGTTTCTAAGCGATCCGTAAAAGCATCATTCGTTCCGAGGGCCTTTTACACGTGAAAACATACTTCCAACTTCATAGTTCCCTTTGATGTGCTTCGTTCCGAGATCATGAAAGCTAAGATTAGTGAGAGACGGTGTTTCCTGGACATTCCACATCTAGAAGATGTGGAAACAAATCAAAGCCAGGTGTAGTGCCCAATCCGCCAGCTCACCAGAGCCCGAGGTGACTTCTGCTGAAAATCGGGAGTACCTGAGCTATTCCTAAAAATGACAACAATCCCTGGAGCTCAGACAGGCCACTGGGAATAAGACGGTTTTCAGCGAAGATGACAGATTGTATGACCTGAAGTCAAAGGTAAATGCAAGTTCTTTTGCTTTGACTCAGCAGCTAACAGAGCAACGAAGGGACGTAATGACCAGCATGAAGCTTACGAAGTTCAATGGCTGTTTCCACCGCAATCACCGAACTTCATAAGTGCCACTCACTTTAGAATCCGACTAACCGAGGCCATTACAGGCACCTGAAACAGTGAGCCGCCCCATTTCAAAAATTATTCAAAGTAATCTGCCAATAAACTTAATTCTGAAAAGCTACTTTGAAAAAGTAACCACACGATTGGCTGATTATTCACAGAAGCTAACTACCCATAATGTATTACCCAAAGCGCCCTTGGTGTCTGACTTGAAAATGAGCCCTTAAGTGTGTATCATGCATTTCCTCTCCCTCACGACCCAGTAGTCATTGTACCGGAAGCACTAATGGCTACCGCTCCCAAGAGCTAAGTTTGGAGAATTTGCTATCCTAAATGCCTGTATGAAAGTACACATTTATTCAACAAATATTTCATAGACATCCATTAAATGCAGGAGTTTTTCAGGCCCTGGGAATGTACCCGCAAACCGGAGAGAAAAGCTCACTCATGAGAACACTGGCTTTTCTCTCACGGGGAGAGCGGCTGAGGGGACGAGAACTGCTCTGGAAGGGGGTCAGGAAAGGCCTAAGTCTGGGGCAACCTCCGAGCCGAGATGCAGGAGGAGGAGCCGAACCAGCTCACATCCGGGACAAAAGGACTGTGGGCAGAGAGCAGCGGGGATGGCGACTGGAGGACAGGCCTGACATGTTTGAGAAGCAGAGCTGTGACTCAGCCCTGGATAAGGAGGGAAAGAGGAGAGAAACGGGCTTCGGAGGCTAGGGCAGGGGAAGAGCAGTGCTACAGGGAAATGCCTGGAGGCTAGTGAACAGAAGTGCCAGTGCTGATTTGCTTTTTTTTTTTAAATTGGTGTCAGAGAGGAAGAGAGAGGGAGAGAGACATCAATGATGAGAGAGAATCATGGATTGGCTGCCTCTTGCACACCCCACACTGGGGATCGAACCTGCAACTGGGCATGTGCCCTGACCAGGAATCAAACCTGATCACCTGGTTCCTAGATCAATGCTCAGCCCGAGCCATGCCCGTCAGGCCTGATTTACACTTTAAACCACCACATTGATGCTGCTTTGGCAGCACATATGCTAAAATTGGAACCATACAGAGATTAGCATGGCCCCAAAGCAAGGATGACACACAAATTTGTGAAGTGTTCCATATTTATAAATAAATAAATAAATAAACAAATAAATAAATAAATAAATAAATGTTTTTAAAAACGCCACGCTGGCTGCCCTGTGGCAGAGGCCAAATAAGAGGCTACTGTAGTTGCCTGGACAGGAAATGATGGTGGCTGGGATTTGGGAGGGAGCACTGGAACTATCCAGGAAGAATTACGTTCCTGATTGGCTTTGAAGATAAAACCTGGCTGGTTTGGCACAGTAGACAGAGTGGCCTGTGGTCTGAAGAGTCCCAGGTTCAATTCTGGTCAAAAGCACATGCTCAGGGTGCAGACTTGATCCTCAGTAGGGGACATGCTGAAGGCAGCCAATCAATGATTCTCTCTCATCATTGATGTTTCTAACTCTCCCTTTCTCTTCCTCTCTGAAACCAATAAAAATATATTAAAAAAAAAAGAACCAGTCACTGAATTTAACAGTTCTTTTAGGAAAAAAACAAAAAACAAACAGAATTGGATACAGAACTTAAAGGAAAGAGAGGAATCCAGGAAGAGTCTCTGGGTTTGGGGTTAGTGCTCCTGGTAAATAAATGATGGTATCTTTAGAAATGGGAAGGAACTTGGGGGGGAGCGGGTGCAGGTTTAAGTATCATTTTGGACTAATTGAGAGCTTATTAGCTATCCAGATGGAACTGTAAAAAAGCAGCTTTTACAAAATGCTAGAGCTCAGAGAAGATGCCTAAGCTAGAAATATAAATGCCAGACACATCATCTCCTCAGAGATCACAGAAATAACCAAAGTATTCTTTGGTGGCATTATCCCGCTTTATGCATTTCCAACTTTCTGAGCTAGTTAACTCAAACTCAGGTATTACCTGTGTGTCTGCAGACACAAGGAAGTGGGGAGGGATGCGCACACTTGCACACGAGGAGGAAAATGACTTCCCCTAGCTGACGAGACTAAGTTCTTAACATCATTTCATTTTGGATTGTCTGATTGACATACATTAGAAACATTTAAATTTTATAACTTTTATTAGAAATAAAAATAACATAGTAATGTAAGTAATACTTACCTTCAACGTAATGTTAGATAACCCTTCTTTCTCTATAATACTTCTGGAAAGCTGTATCGCAGAAGGTGAGTAATCAATGCCAGTAATGTTAGAGAAACCGAGCTTTGCCTAGAGACAAAGAAGCAATTTTATACTTTAGTTTTAAAATGTTTTAATATCCTGTTTTGCCTATGAATTATAATATCCCTTTAGGACTGGGACTGTCATTCACTTTGAATAGATCAAGTAATGTATACAATCCAATAATCTATAATGCTTAAATTTTATGTAGAATCAAAACAGAAACTGGAAATTTAAATCTATAGAATGTGACAAATCCTTTGCTTTTATATTTTACTTCTTTTTTCAAAAGGACATTCAATTTCTCAAAGCCAATGAGAATACTTGTACGTATATTTCTGCCCTCAAGCAGAAAAGTATAGTGTTAATTTCTGATGCTAACATGCTCTGGTTCACACACATAAATCGAGCATAAATTTTACTTAACACAATTAAATCATATGACTACATTTATTGCACATGAAATAAGTCCTTGATTTAAAAGTCCCTTTAGCCCAGCCAGTATGGCTCAGTGGTTGAGCACATGCCCAGGTGTGGGCTTGATCTCCTGGTATGGGGCATGCAGAAGGCAGCTGATCAATGATTCTCATCATTGACGTTTCTCTCTCCCGCCCCCCCCTTCTTCTCTGAAATCAATAAAAATATATTAAATAAATAGTAGAGACTGTAAGAATGGGTTGAAAACCATGACCTAACTATGTGCCAGCTGTAAAAACTGACAAGTGGCTACCTGGGGGGGAGGGTGTGGCCATACAGATGGCAAGAGGTTCCTGGGAGGAGCTACTCTGTATCCTGTGATGATTATATGAATCTCTACGTGTGTTAAAATTCATAAAACTGTAATAAAAAGAGTCACTTTTGCAATACATTAATTTTTTTTAATTAAAAAAAATTATGAGCAAATTTATGCTCCTAATAGGACTTGGATCCAGTAGCTTTTCATTTAGTTCCTTCACCCCGTCCAGGCGGTATCCCTTAGTACCCGTGACTTCTCAGAGCAAGTGGCATGCTTGCTTTACTACTTTAATTTAAATGGTTAGTATCCTCCATTGCAAGTTTTATAATTTTCACTTTAACACAAATAATAAAAGTACCAACAAGTTCAACCAGGAGAGCACCATTTCCGGTTCCAATATCAAGCACCGAAGCATCCATTGGGATCTTGTGTTTTTGCATCCACCTTATGAGTCGATTCATACTCTCCTCCCCAAACCTATCAGAAACAGAGAGTTGGTTAATCAAACAACAGAGGGTGCCGAAATCAGTTTGGCTTAGTGGATAGAGGTCAGCCTGTGGACTGAAGGGTCCCAGGTTCGATTCCGGTCAAGGGCATGTACCTTGGTTATGGGCACATCCCCAGTGGGGGGTGTGTAGGAGGCAGCTGATTGATGATTCTCTCGCATCCATATTTCTAACTCTCTATCCCTCTCTCTTCCTCTCTGTAAAAAAAATCAATAAAATATATATTTTTTTAAAAAGCTAACATTTAAAAAAAATATATATATATATATATTTTTTAAAGAGGGATAAAAAGAGGGATATACAGCCAAGTTACAACGATAATCCATTGAAGCAGATCAGCCCATATACTCCATTAAGCCATTTTGGAAAGTAAAGGGTATTAACTGTGACTGCTTAAGCTTCATCTTTACTATTATTTAGAAAAGACACACCGAAGAATAAACAGAATACATAAGGTTGGTATATTACTTATTACTGTTTCTCTCCATCAGCATTGACAATTGTATGTATTGATGGCTCAACATTTTATTGCTTATTTAAAAAGGATAATTGTAGGAAGAGAGTAATTTCCTAATACTATCATCAAGTTTAAATCCGGGTCATTAAAAGACAGAGGTTCTTTAAATCCAACAACTAAAGCCAGAATTGGTTCAAGGTTGCCAAGATTTTCAGCCTATCTTCTTTGGGATACAACTTACAACATAAAGACAGACACAGACACACACACACACACACACACACACACACACAGAGTCTTCCGGATTCCACTGTTTTCTGTAACTCACCAGACTTCTCCCGTGTCTCCATATTCTTGGAAAGTGTGCAGTTCCCGCTCATACACAGCATCCCAACTACAGAAATAATTAAATGCAAAGCAAGATTCTTCAGTTAAACGGAATTAAACGTATATTTCTAATAGGTTACAGAGGTTTATGCCCCATCTGTTTGGCTCAACCCATCCGATTCCAGGTCAGGGTATGTGCCCGGAGTTACAGGTTCAATCCCCACTAGGGGGCGTGCAGGAGGCAGCTGATCCATGATTGTCACTTTTAAAAAAATATATTTTATTGATTTTTCAGAGAAGAAGAGAGAGGGATAGAGTTAGAAACATCGATCAGCTGCCTCCTGCACACCCCCCACCAGGGATGTGCCTGCAACCAATGTACATGCCCTTGACCGGAATCGAACCTGGGACCCTTCAGTATGCTGGCCTATGCTCTAGCCACTGAACCACACCGATTTCGGCTCTCTCATCATTGATGTTTCTATCTCTTTTCCATCTCCCTCTTCTCGGAACTCAACAAAAATATATTTTTAAATAAACTAATACTTATTTTTAAAAATTAAAATACATTCGTGTTATCAATGAGTTCACAATAACTCAAATCTCAACATCTCGGTGTTTGAAAAATGAAAGACAGACTAGCATCACAAGCTTACACAGGTAAAGCACTGAGAACAACATGTGACACACGAAAAGGCTGTGTTAGCTTTAAAAAAAACACACAGACAAAAAAAAAACAAAAACACAAGTATTTGTTCGAGGATCCCTTAATCCCAAACACAAGTCCAAACTTCCCGTTTAAAATGTGGGGAAACAGGGATTTTCCTACCAAGACAATGGAACTCACCCCAGACAAGCTCAGCTCGCAGGATGCGTTAAGATTTCCTCACACCTTTTCAGTCCAGTCCTCGCTCCCCTACGTCACCCCTCCTCTTCCTACGTCACCCCTCTTCTTCCTACGTCATCCCCACTTCTTCTTGCCCCCCTGGCACCCCTCTCCCTCCTCACCCCCCCCCCCGTCCCCTGTCCTCCTCCCTTGCCCACCCCTCCCCTCCCACCCCTCCACCACCCGCCCCTCCACCCACCCCTCCACCACCCGCCCCTCCACCTCTGATTCCTTAGATGCTCTCTCTCCCCCCCCCCCCCCCCCCCGGGGTCACCGCGGGGAACCCCGCTCCCCCCTCGGAGCTCAACCCCGCCGGGTCCGCCCAGCCCGCCCCCCGGCTGCCCCGCCCCTGGGCGCCCCCAGGGTCCGGACCTAAGGCCTTCCCAGGAGCGGGGCGCCCGGCCCCAACCCCCGAGCCCACCACAGGTCAGCCCCCCCCACCCCGCCATCGCCCAGGAGGCCCCCCGCCCGCCACGGCCCCGAGCCTCCCCAGCTTCCGAGCCCCCGGCCGCCATCCCTGCGTCCCCCACCGGGGGCGCCGCACTCACTGCTCGCGGGTCCCCAGCGCCGACGGGGCGAAGCCGCCCGCCCCGGGGCTGCCCTCCCGGGCCCGCGCCGCCGGCGCCGCGCCGCCGCCCGCGCTCATCCCTCTCGGCGCCGGGAGCCGAGGCCGCCACAGAGAGGCGCGGGGCAGAGCGGCGCGCGGAGGGCGCCTCTGGGCGGCGGGAGGCCGCCCTCTCTACTGCTCCCGGCCCGTGACTCCCGGCCCCGCCTCCCTCCCGCCCTCACCCGACCTGGGATGCACCCCTCCTGCTCGGAGGTGCTCGCCGAGGCCACCGGGTTTGGCGGTGGGTAAGCCACGCCAAAAACCCAAATGCACAAACCACGTGGTGGGCAGATCTGGGAACTTTTTAAAATATATATATATTTTTATCGCTTTTAGAGAAAAAGGGAGGAGAGAGGGAGAGAGAGAGAGACATCATTGATGAGACAGAATCACTGATCCGCTGCCTCTTGCACACCCCACATTGGGGACGGAGTTCGCACCCAGGCCTGTGCCCTGACCAGAGTGGAACTGTGAGCTCCTGGGTCACAGGGCCTCCCTCAACCACTGAACTGCCGGGCTGGGCAGATCTGGGAATCTTTATCTGGCTTTCGGCTACTTTCATTTGTGGCTGGGATTCTGCCTTAAAAATAACATTCTGGTAAGAAGAAGAAAAAAGTAAAGATAAAAATTATGAACAACAAATACATATCTATCAACAAGTGAACCTAAAAATCAAGTGAATTAAAAATCTGAGGAACAGAGTAAATTGGTGAATATAATAGAATCAGGAGCATAGAAAGGGAGTGGAATGATAATTCTCAAGGGAAATGGGGGGTGGGGGTGCAGGAAGAGACTGGACAAAAATCATACACCTATGGATGAGGACAGTGGGGGGAGGTAAGGGCAGCGGGTGGGGTGGGAGTTGGGTGGAGGGGAGCTATGGGGGAGAAAGGAGAAACAATTATAATAATCAGAACAATAAAGATTTATTAAATTAAAAAAAAATAACATTCTGGTCTCTTCTAACGGGAAGTCAATAGGAGGACATGGGAATTTATGCCCAAAGTAAGGAATGCCCTAGGACCCCACCCCCAAATACGCCCATCAAGGGGATCAGAGAGATGTGGATGAAAGAGCGCTAAGTGAGAGACAAGATGCCCGCCTGGCTGTCTCAGCGCTGCCCCTCCCCGGGCACCTGGGCACACGCACACCCTTCACCTCCGTGTGTCTCCGTGTCCTCGCCTGTACCTCGCCCTAAATGGATGGTGTCCGTTCTGCAGATTGCTCCCAGCCAGTGAACTGGAAATTCCTCGGCCTGTTGGTCTAGCTGTGCAGTATAATGCGGAGAGGGCTTACCCACCAAAGCCTGGGGCTGTCTGCAGCAGCGATGAAATGCTGGCAGGTCCGTGTCCCTGGCAGGGCTGCTTCCCACGACAGGAATGGGTCCTCGGCCACTTTTCTGTTGACTCTGCAGACCCAGGCCTTCGAGGTAAACAACCTCAACAGTTGCCTTTCCAGCCAGAAACGCCAGTTAGGACCGAAAGTGCATCTTTTCCTCACAAGGCGTCCCCACGGGCAGCCACCAGGGATAGAGTCCGGGGACAGGGGAGGGAGGCCATGTGTGCGGTGATTAAAGAACCCCCAAAGAGGAAAGTGGCCTCATTACAGAGGAATCAAACCACCAGATGCCACGGCCAATTAGTGCTGCCGGCAAAGGGCTGTTTTCCTCTTCTCTAGACCCAGACGCCGGAGAAAGCAGGCTTGAATGCGGCTGAGTGGGTCTTAGGAAAGTCTGGGTTATAATTGAAGAGCCATGAAAGATAAGGCTGTCTCTTCGGCAATCTATGTCCTCCCCGCACTGAAGTGGTTACTGCTGAGTGTGATGAATGCTCTAAAGGCTTGTGGTATGAGGCCTGGAAAAACCCTGTTTATGCAGAGTCCCTCCTCTGGCTCCAGGCTTACTCCGGCTGTTTAGTCCGGAAGGCTGGGAGGACACCACCTCTGCTCACCCAGGGAAACGGGATTCGTGGCGGGAGGTGGAGAAGCTTAGTCCCAGCGGGCTGCCCATCACCAGGGAGAAGCTGGAACGGCCAAGGGACACAGTGCCTCCCACCGGGGCCTGTTCCATGAGGCAGGAGGGCGGCTCTGAGAGTACCCTGGGTGGCCTGTCTCTCTCTCTCCCTCCACCTGCAGCAGGGTGCCCTGCTGGCTCACAGCAGCTCTGACACTGGGCTCCCAACAATTCTCAACAGCTTCCTCGTTCACAAGGCAAGGGCCAAGTTCCAGGCTTCTTTACTTTCTCTCTCTCTCTCTCTCTCTCTCTCTCTCTCTCTCTCGAAGAGGAAGAGAGATAAACATCAATGTTGAGAGAGAATCCTGGATCGGCTGCCTTCTGCATGCCCCACACTGGGAATTGAGCCCTCAACCCAGGCATGTGCCCTTGACTGGAATCAAACCTGGGACCCTTCAGTCCGCAGGCCAACACTCTATCCACTGAGCCAAACCAGCTAGGGCTATCTCTCTCTCTCTCTCTCTCTCTCTCTCTCTCTCTCTCTCTCTCTCTCTCTCTCTCTCTCTCTCTCTCTCTCTCTCTCTCTCTCTCTCTCTCTCTCTCTCTCTCTCTTTCTCTTTCTCTCTTTCTCTCTCTCTCTCCTGCATGCCCTATTGGGAATCGTGCCCTGACCAGGAATCGAACCGTGACCTCCTGGTTCATAGATCGACGCTCAACCCCTGAGCCACACTAGCTGGCCAGGCTTTACCTCTCTTGATTGATCCTATAGGGGTTAACAAAGCTTAGCACATCCCTTTTCAAAGCCCCTCTTTTCCCCCCAGCACTACCTGCTCTTAAGTGAACCTTGTAAAAAGGGCAGCTCCAACAGAAACCGTTTGGCTCAGTGGACAGAGCAGCGGCCTCCGGGCTGAAACGTCCCAGGTTCGATTCTGGTCAAGGGCATGTACCTTGGTTGTGGGCACATCCCCAGTAGGGGGTGTGCAGGAGGCAGCTGATCGATATTTCTCCCTCATACATGTTTCTTGCTCTCTGTCCCTCTCCCTTCTTCTCTGTAAAAAAATCAATAACATATATTTTTTTAAAAAGGGCAGCTCCAGTTGGACTCCCGGGATTTGGGTCTTCACCTTATCCTGTGTGAGTGCGGGGAAGCTTCTTAACTTCTCAGGCCTCAGTTCGCCCATCCTATAACCAGGGTAATAATGTTGCCCATGGCTAGGGCAGCTATAGAGATTAAAGGAAATAATTTCTGTAAAGTCTTTACATGCCTGATGTATAAATACTCAACAAGTGCTACTTCAGTGCTCACTTTGGCAGCACACATGCTGGATTAGCATGGCCCCTGTGCAAGGGTGACATGCAAATTCGTGAAGCGTTCTATATTTTTAAACTAAAAAAAATAAATCAAATAAATGCTACCTCAGTTTCTTCAGCCATAACTGTAGTTTAAAATGGGTCTCCTTCAGTGGCTCAGCGGTTGAGCATGGACCCTTGAACCAAGAGGTCACTGGTCTCATTCCTGGTCAGGGCGCATGCTGGGGTTGCAGGTTCGATCCCCAGTAGGGGGCGTGCAGGAGGCAGCTGCTCTCATCAATGTTTCTATCTATTCCTTCCTGTCTCTAAAAAAAAAAAAAAAAAAATCAATAAAAACATATTAAAAAATTTTAAATCCTCCTGTAGAGAATTGTTAGCAGGATTAAATAAGTCTGTACAATGTAAAGAGCTTAGAACAGAGCCTGGCATACAATCAGTGTTCAGTAACAGTTAGCCATGCTATTAGTAACTCCCATCCCCTGCCCTCAGCTACAGACTTCTAGTGCAGTTGCCTAGATGCCTCTTGTTACATTCAGCTCAACTGGCTGAAAACTGAACTGTCTTGCATGGCCTTCCCCCATGACCCCTATCCCTCCATCCCTCTTTTCCCTCTGCTCTCTACCCCCCTGGTCCTAGGCCATCCTCCCATCATTCTGTCCTCCCCTCCCCCTCCCCACACAGCACCTCCTGGTCTCTTGGCTCAGGGACATTTCTCGATCCTGTCACCACCGCGCTGTGTTCTTTGGGCCACTCAGGCTCACAGCTCTCGGGAGCCGGTTGTTTGGACACATTTTGAAGAATGCTGACTGGCCCAAGTGGGGTGTCAGGAATGATTCCAAGGCTTTCCTGCCCAGTTTTCAGAAAACAGTCCTGTTTGCTTGGAAAGAGAGTGGTAAGAGTTTTGTGGGAAGTCACGAACCTCATTTCGAACCAAAAAGATGGAACACATGGAAGAATAATGATTAGAAAAGTGAGCTCTTCCCTGAGTTTCTTTCCTTAACTCTGTTATAGTTTATTTTCACTTCTATTTGTTATTTATGCTGCTTTTATCCTCTTTCTGTTATATTTCATTACATTTGTGTTCCCTTGTATCCAGAATCCAATCGCTTCTTACCACCTCCCCTGCTATCACCATTTCACTTCTAACCACTGCCCAACCACCGCCATCCCGGCTCTGGATTACCATAATACCTCCTTCTCCCTCCCCTGGCACTATATTATTTTTTAAAGATATATTGTATTGATTTTTTTTTTTCACAGAGAGGAAGGAAGAGGGAGAGAGAGTTAGAATCATCAATAAGCTGCCTCCTGCACACCCCCACTGGGGATATGCCCACAACCAAGGTACATGTTCTTGACCAGAATCAAACCTGGGACCCTGAGTCTGCACGCCAATGCTCTATGCACTGTCCCAAACGGGCCAGAGCTGGCACTATATCCTTGTCATGGCAGCCAGAATGGTCAGATGGAAATTGAAATCGCATCATGTTAATTCTATATCAAACCCCAAACCAGGCAACTGCTTGAATCACCTCCTTGCATTCATCCTTGAGCATGACAGATGTTGGACTTGAACACCAACCATTTCACTTAAAAACATTTTTTAAAACGGTTTGCGCAACTATCAAGGGCTGTGCAGAAGAGGCGATGTCTGGGGAGTGCCGGGCGCGAGACCCACGGGTGGACACGGTGCGGGGGCGTCGCTCTGACCCCGAACACTTGCACTCAGCACGCCTCCGGCCCCGGGCGCCCCGGCTTCCGGCCTCATCCGCGAAGAAGACTTCATTTCCCAGGATGCCCCGGGGCGGGGCCGGCCGGAAGGCCGCGTGCCCTCCGCGGGGCATGATGGGGGAATCGGAGATTTCCATCATGGCGGCTTCCATTTCGGGCTACACCTTCAGCGCTGTGTGTTTCCACAGCGCCAACAGCAACGCCGACCACGTAGGTGCCGGGCCCCCTGCCCCGGCCGCTGGGGCCGAGCCGGGGCCCCCTGCGGCGCGTACCCCAGGCTCCCGGGCCGGCCCTGCTCCCGCCCCTGGCGAGTCCCGCTGCCCGGGCTCCTTTGCCCCCGGGCCGGGCCCCCCGGCTCGGGGCCTTCGGCCGCCCGGCCGGCCGGAGACAGCGGTCCCCGGGGCGGCGGAGCCCGGCCGGCCGGCCGCCGGCGGGGTCGAGGTCGCTCCGGGGTCCTGGGTGTCCGGCCCCGGGACCTGCGAAGGGCCCCGTGGGGGTCACGGGGCGACCAGGGGGCCGCGGCTGGCGCTCCGCACACCTGTTCGGGGAGCCGGAGCGCTCCCTGCCCCCGGAGCGGGCAGGCCCGCGGCAGGCTTCGGCGTGGGGCTCCTCGCCTGGAAGTTGCGAGCTGAGTTCCCGGCAGAGGTTCCGGGGCCGCGGAGCTGAGTGGCGGGGAAATGGGGAAGTGACAGGCCGGCGCCGGAGCGAGCGGGCCGCCCGGCTGCTCCTGCGTCTGTCTTCATCGCACGGGGGTGGCCTTGTCGCGTCCCTGACCTCGGAACGGAAATTCTTGGTGGAACTAGATAATGTTTATCTTTAAGGCTGTGTTTCGTTTGCCCACCCCCTTGGGGGATTATCTGAAAAGATGCCAAGCGTGCATTATTCAAAGTCAGTAAATAAGTGTGTGTGTGTGTGTGTGTGTGTGGGGGGGGGTTGTGCTTGTCATTACAAAGCAAAATGAGACACTGCAGAAGGAACTGGATTTGGTTGGATGTCAGCCGTCTCAGCTTCCATTAATAACAACTTCGAGAGGCGATCCCATTAGTAAATTGGATGGCATTAAATAAACCTGCCTTTCTCCTCTCCAGTGCGGATGGTAGATTAATGATAAGAATACACACAACGTGGGTCTGTCCAGAGGCCGCTCGTGGGTCTCTGACACGAAGGCTTTTTTTTTTTTTTTTTTTTTTTTTACTGCAGCCAGCTATTTAATAATGTAATGCAGCCCCAAATATAGTGGTTTGTTACACTCCCGGTGTCCGTAGGAGTGTTACATACATTTAAATGAACTCTGATTTGTGGAGGGCCTAGTAATATCACCGTTTACGTGTAGGACATAAGATTGTTGTAAGAATCAGCAGCTACCTGTTGAAAAGTGGGTACATTTTTCTACAAACTGCAGTGAGATGGCCACGTTACTCAGATTGTTACTAATTTAATGCAAGAGACATCTCTTTACTATCTACAGGTCTGGTGGCTAGACTTCTCAGAAATTATCACCAATGACAGTAGTTTGCAACTGTATTGGATATGACCATACTTGCCCATGTTAACCTTGCCACAGTTGCCCATGTGGAATGAAGTTGTTTCAGTGTTATGTATTTTAAAGTGGAAGAACCAAGAATTTGCTTTTGTAGCACATTCTTGTTTCCTTCAGGCAAGAAATGTGCTGGGAATCATGTGGTCTGTGGCAGTGACTCCCCCCTGCTGTTGTAGAGAGAAGGCAGCTATAGACCATAGAGAAGTTAGGGTGACTGTTCCCAATAAACTTTATGGACACTGGAATTTAAATTTCATATACTTTTCACATCATGAAATATTCCCATTTTAATTTTTTATTTATTTTTTCATTGATTTTTAGAGAGAGGAAGGGAGGAGAGAGAGAGACAAACATTGATCTGCTGCCTCCCATATGCAGTTGGGCTGTGCACACCCTGACTGGGCATGGAACCCGCAATCCCCATATGTTCCCTGACCCAGAATCCAACCCAAGACCCTTCGGTGCACAAGACAACACTCCGACCAGCGGAGCCCAGCAGCCAGGGCTCCATTTCCATATTTTTTCAATCATTTAAAAGTCTAGAAAGTACTCCCACAGCAGGTTATGCTGAATCATCCAGAACTGTTATGGTGGTGTGTGTTAATTCTCCAGAGGTGAGAATTAACCAGCCTCTGCATTTATCGAAGAAGCACTTTCACGTGAATGATAGGAACTGATTCGCCGAGACCCTCATTTCCCACGCCAGTTACAAGAGCCGTCAGTTGTGCATTGTGTCAACTTATTTAGCTTTCACCATTAGCAGTGTTTTTAATGCAGTGCAATGAAATGAATTGTATGCTGTGTCAGGAAAACGAGCTTTTGCCCGAACCTGTGTCTCAGTGGATAGCGTCAGCCTGCAGACTCAAGGGTCCTAGGTTCAATTCCAGTCAAGGGCATGTACCTTGGTTGTGGGCACATCCCCAATAGCTGATCGATATTTCTCTCTCATCGATGTTTCTAATGCTCTATCTCTCTCCCCTCCTCTATGTAAAAAATCAATAAAATATGTATTTTTTTTTAAAGAAAAAAAAAGCAAGCTTTTATCCCCCTTATGCACTCCAGTCACCCACCTGCATCCACTTCCAACACTGGTGCTGCTACTTGATAGGATTCAGGTGATGAGTTCACTCTACTCGTTTTTACTTCAGAGACACAAGGAAGACTTGAAGGGATTGAAATATATTTCACCCTGTATGGAGTCCTTTTTTCAACAATATAGCTAATGGGTATATCTCATATTGGTCTAGTCAGATTGCTCTAGTCTTGTTGGTCTATAGAATAGTAGTTCACCAGCCAACCTTGTTTGGATTATTGTTAAAAATTATTATGTCCTAAATTTCTCTTAATTCCAGGAAAAACCATCTTTATGTGCAACTCTTTTCTTTCTTGCATTTAGGAAGGATTTTTGCTGGGAGAGGTGAGACAAGAGGAAACCTTTAGCATCAGTGATTCCCAAATCAGCAACACAGAGTTCCTGCAAGTCATTGGTGAGTTATACCGACCGCAGAAATACTCCCTGTATATTTTGTTAGTTTGTTCTTTGGCCCTTAAAAGGTTAAAAAAGTCATAGATAACCATTCACATTACAATGCCAATTACTCGCACTAATAAATGACGTGAACTGTTTTTAGAGGTCAGTGTAAGAATACAGTGCCTATCTGTAGCTGTAGCTGTAGGCTTTCTATAACGCTATCCCTTACCCACTAACTGATCTGACTTTGACTGGATTCTGTGTTGTAGCACTTGGTAGCCTCTCCAAAACCACCGAGAACCTCAGGTTTGCAAATTGCGTGTCCCCATTGCCATCACCGCCCCCTGAAATAAAGGTGGTGTTGTGTGGGCCTTTCTGAAGGTCTGGCACGTTGTTCGCACTTATTTAGCTAATTGTACAGCCTTTGTCAGTTTGGGGAGATTTTGGGGAAGCCTGAGTATTTATAGATGCACTGACTCATAGTTTTTTAGCTGCACATTAGTGTCATCAAACAGCATATCCTGACACCCAGAGAAAAGGCATTTTATTCAGTTGTGCAGCCAATATTTATCGAAGCGTAAGGCATGTGCTGGCAGTGTGAGGAGCATCTAGTTGCATTTCTGCCTTCCGGGAGTGTGGGAGGATGAAGCAAGTCACAGAAGTGCCAGCAGTGCAAGATGAGTGCTGGGAGAAAGGAGCCAAGGCAATCCCATAGATTAGAGGGGAAACTGCTAGTGGGTGAAATCAGGGAAGACTTCCTGAAGGAGGTGAGCTCAGGGCTTGGGTGGTGCTTTCAGAGGAACACAGAAAGGAGTGCCTAAAACACACAGGGGTCCTGGCCTGTGTCTGTGACCAAAATGCAGTGTGTGTGCAGGTGAGAAGTTTGAAATTCTGCTGGAAGGTCAGGTCTTTCTGGGGCCAGTCACCAATTTCAAGCCTGTTCTGACAGCCTAGTACATGGATGGGGGGCCAGGGTGAGGATTGACTTAGGGTGGGTTTGGAGGAAGAGGCTGCACTCTATTTTTTGGTTTGCTAGGACCAAAACTATAAGACCCCCTCCACAGCATCCACCGCTAAATAAAGACGCGCAGTGTCCGGGCATAGCTGCTCTGTCATTGAGGTGTTGTCTTTGCTCGTTTTGCTTAGTTCCTTAAAATCCTGAGGTGGAGAACTTGGTTTCATTGGACATCTGTGGAATTATTTATTGTTTGCACCTGAATTTCAAAATTAATTTGATAGATGAAGATTAAAATGCCAGAGTTAGTTTACCATATAAGAAAGAGCTCTCTTACCCAGCATGATGACAAAAATAGCATTTCTGATTAATATTCTAGCTGTCTATATTTACCTACTTATTTAAATAAGTATATATATATTTATCTCCTGGGCTATTTTATATGATTAGCTAAGATGTATTTTCTTTTTCTGATTACAGAAATCCATAACCATCAGCCTTGTTCAAAGCTTTTTAGGTAAGCCACACTCTTCTCTGTAGCTTTTAGCTCTTACTAAAAGACTAATGCTTAAAAAGTAGTGAATTTATGTCTGATAATGGCTAGAAAGTCCCAAGTGTAACTGAGGACACCCAAGTCCTCTTCCGTGTTGAGTGCCAGCGGGTGCACTGTGAGGTCAGGGAGGGAGAGGTGCAATCTTGCTTACGCCTGCCTGCGGCCAAGTGCGCATCCCGGCCGCAGGGGCTTAGAGTGGAGGCTTCCCACCAGGGAAGGAGCTCCTTGGATTCACCTGCAGGGACCATGGTGTGAAGGTGTTTTTAAAAGAGGAAGGAAAGAGGTCAGTAGCAGAGAAAACAAACAACTTCCTTTTGGTGTTTATTTAAGTTAATATCCACCGGTTGCATATTACAATCAACTGAATGACAGAGAAAACATGGGAGGAGAGAGAGAGCAAATGACAGAAGAGAGATGGCAAATGACAGAAACACAGGGAGGGGTAGGGGGAGGGAGAAGAAGGCTGGTATTTCCACCCGCAGGCCTCCACCTCCCTCCTGAGCCCCAGACCCTCCTCCTGAGGCGGTCTGAGGATGTCTCTGTTTCTTAAAATCCCCCAGGCCTGTTCTCCTGCATTCCGGAAGCGGGCATGCTGCTCCCACTATTCAGTTCAGGCTTCCTGGTCAGCACTTCCTTCTTTTAAAAAAAAAATATATATATATACATATACATATACATGTACATATACATATACATATACTGATTTCAGCGAGGAAGGCGGGGAGAGAGAAGCATCAGTGAGGAGAGAGTATCTACTGAGCCAACCTGCCAGGGCAGCACCTTCCTTCTTTAAACACCTGCCAGCTCCTCACACCGCTGTCCTGCCGAGTGCTCCCTGCCGCCTCCCAACCCGCTCTGTTCTCAGCTGGCAGGCGCTGGCCCCTTCACCCCGAGCCCCTGGGGACTTGTATTGGTCACACACACACACACACACACCCCCCCCCACACACCCCTACCCTCGTTATTTCAGAGCTCTGTCTTCATGTACGATGGCTGCCCGAGGACGAGGTCTGAAGGAGCCAAGTTGCTCCTCTGCCCTGGATTTACACAGAAGCGAGAGGAGTGGGCAGCAAGGTGCGCAGCCAGCAGTGCCTTTGAGAAGACTCTCAGAGCAGACAAGCTGATTGAGGCCGGGCCCACGCAGTGCCTGTGTCTGGTCCGTGAAAGTGCCCTTGGGGCCCTCACCCTCCAGAGCTGTGCTAGGCGGCCCGGCCTGGCGCTTCTGAGGGGTTCCTCTAAGCATCGACGGCAGAGGCACCCCAGACAGAATGGAACTCAACTCCGATCATAGACTCAAAGTGCTCAGCGCTGAAAGCAACCTTAGACATTCCCCGTCTACCCCAGACTGCCCTGCCGAAAGGGGAAGGGGCAGATAGGGTTAGGGACGCGCTCAAGGTCACTCAGGGAGGAGCAGGACTGAGCCCGAGCGGAGGCTCCTGACTCCCAGTTCGGTGTTCTCAAGGCACCTTGATCTCCTCCGTGCCTTATAAGGCCTGGGCTTGTGTGGGAGGAGGGGGAGGGCGGCATTCCTAACCCCCCGACCTGGTAGGAAAGCCACAAATCACGTGCCTGCGCGGCAGAGGGCCCTGGCCGGTGGGTCTGTGTTGGGGTGGGTGCATTCAGTGTGAAGCTAGCCAGACCTGGCTTCAAATCCCAGTTCTTCCAGCTCCAGCCTGTGGTTTGGGCAAGCCGCTTATCTTCGGTGTCTGTAGCCACGAAAATGGAAATCAAACTTGACTTGTCGGGCTGAACTAACACCTCCATCACGGAGGAAGAACGGAATAAAATAGCAGGAGGAAGCCTGCGGAGCGGTTTCTGGTGAAGCATTAACCAGTGCGCACTTCCCTTCCTCCTTCCTCAGAGAAGCTGCATTCTTTTGTTTCCATAAGTAACTGATGCTTAGACACAGGGAAAGCTGCCCAGCCCACATGTTTATACTTAGCTGCTGTCAGCACCTCCCGCAGGGAGTGTCCTTTGAACAGTAACCTTGTCTTGAGTATTCTTTGATGCAAAAGACACCTCCTGTCGGTAAAACATGTAGATGGATTTCTCTTTATATACCTAGTGACGGCAGTTCTGTCTTTATTACCAGGATAGAACTGGGCTAGATGACTCATAGACACACGTAGCTAAGCATATCCATGTCATGATACCATGTGGTTTTAATACAATATTGTTTTCTCTTGAAAAAAACAAAACAGTTTTTATGACTACGCAAGCAAAGTTAACGAAGAGAGTTTGGACAGGATTCTTAAAGATCGGAGAAAGGTAGGTCACGTTTGTTGCCCATTCCGACTTGGAAATCACTCCTTATCTCATCGCCCGCGCTTAACACAGGAAGGACTGGAAATCAGCAATGCACTGGTGTCAGTGTAGACGAGTTCCATTACCTTGAGTAAATTTTATGGGCAAATTACAGATGTGAGCCAATGTTTACAATATATCACTAGAAAAAAGTTTAGATGTTTGTAGTATGACTCTATTATGTAAAAATCAGAAGGAGAAGAAATGAACTATAATCCAAAAATTAATAACAGTTGAATTTAGTCGAGATGGATTTATCTTCTACTTTGTGATTTAAAAAAAGAAGACTGTAATTAATACACATGCATTAATTTCATGATTTTTACCTTGGTATATAAATTCCAGAAAAATAGATCACACCTTCGCTCAGCTTTGAGCAATTGTACGTAGAGCTGCTTTGAACATTCGTGCGCAGGTGTCTGCACGGACACCTTCAGAACGAAATCTCTATATTTCACACGACTTGTCGCCCTTGCCTCCGGTTCCGCTGCAGAAGGTGATCGGGTGGTACCGGTTCCGGCGGAACACGCAGCAGCAGATGTCGTACCGGGAGCAGGTCCTCCACAAGCAGCTCACGCGCATCCTCGGGGTGCCCGACCTCGTCTTCCTGCTCTTCAGCTTCATCTCCACTGCCAACAGCTCCACGCACGCTCTGGAGTACGTCCTCTTCAGACCAAACCGGAGGTAAAGCCCCGTCCCCCAGCCTCACGTGGCCAGGACAGGCGTGGGCACAGGCATGGAGACCTGTGACTTTGAAATGTGCATTGTATGGCATCTTTACAGATAAGCTTCTATAATTCTCTTTTAGTTAGTTTTTTTTTTTGTCGTTAGAGAAGGTATTTTTCTGTCAGTTGTATAAGTTAAAATTGTTTGGAATCAAAAAGTTAGCAAGATGTATTGATGATGCAGAGTGCTTATAGGACTAAACCGCTGGAAATCACCTTTTGCTTCTCCATAATCCACGTTATAGAAAGACAGTTTTTTTTTTGTTTTTTTTTTTTAATATATTTTATTGATTTTTCACAGAGATGAAGAGAGAGGGATAGAAAGTTAGAAACATCGATGAGAGAGAATCATCGATCAGCTGCCTCTTGCACACCCCCTACTGGGGATGTGCCCGCAACCAAGGTACATGCCCTTGCCTGGAATCGAACCCAGGACCTTTCATTCCGCAGGCCGACGCTCTATCCACTGAGCCAAACCGGTCCCGGCAGAAAGACAGTTTTATTGCTCTGGAAGTTTGATTATAATTGTAAAGCATAGATTTCAGGCAGAAGTGTAAAATTGATCCCCCTCCTGGCTAATGAGGGTTTTACATTGTGAACTTCTTTAAAAAAAATAAAAATAAAAAGGAAAAGATGAGCCTGTGGCCATGGTCTGCTGTGAACAGAAAGGCCTCTCGGGAAAGCCACCTGTAGGAGAATAGACGGAGTCGCCTCGGGGAAGAGCGTTGCTGTCGGTATCCATGGCAGGTTATAGGGCTTCTCAGCAGCCCTGTCAGTCCCTGGGGTGCAGATATAAGACATGACCTCTGCCCTCAAGGAATTTGTAGTCGAGTTTCCACTTTAAGGGCCGGACCCACCCTCATCCGTGCATCTCAGGCTGACGTGGCAGCAGGCCCTGGTGAGACCTGCGAGTCCCCACTGTGGACCTCGGACTCCTGTTGCCATGGTCAGGTCTTCAGCCCGGACAGGGTCTTTACCAGGTTCGCTCTTGACTCTTCCTCCCGCAGGTACAATCAAAGGATCTCCCTTGCTATTCCCAACCTGGGCAACACCAGCCAGCAAGAGTATAAAGTGTCCTCGGTGCCAAACACGTCTCAGAGTTACGCCAGAGTCATTAAAGAGCACGGGTGAGCGGCCAGTCCAGTGGAAGGGCTTCCTTTTCTTTCGTTAAGATGGAAAGGGTGATGGGAAATGGGAAGTCAGGGTTGAAACTGAACATGCAGGGCTGTAATTCTGTAGACCGTCACCCTATAGATCAAAATGTTATTGATATTGAAAAGACAGTTCGCATTTATCATTACTTTTTAAAAAATCAATTGCCACAACTGTTTTTGTAGTTGATATAAAAGTTTGGCTAGAGTGTGTGTATTTCTAAGATCCTAAGCTGTGGTCACTCTTATTTTTTAAATGGCCTTAGTCACGTGGGTCCTTTTTATTTCTCTCCTGTAAGCCTAGTGGGGTGACACTGTGGCTGAGCACTGTCACCTGGGAGCTCCCATTAAAGACCAGATGACGGTCGAGGGCAGGAAGTGCCTTTCAGGGTCATGGCGGCTGCCTTCCCGTGACCTCTCTCCTGCTGTTCTCTAGCACTGACTTCTTTGACAAGGACGGAGTCATGAAGGACATCAGGGCCATCTACCAGGTTTACAACGCGCTGCAGGAGAAGGTGCAGGTACAGCTACTCCTCGTTTTTGTCTTTCTTGTCCTGCCTGAATGCTTTCTTTTTTTTTTTTTTAATATATTTTTTATTGATTTTGTACAGAGAGGAAGGGAGAGAGATAGAGAGCCAGAAACATCGATGAGAGAGAGTCATCGATCAGCTGCCTCTTGCACACTCCCCACCGGGGATGTGCCCGCAACCAAGGTACATGCCCCTGACCGGAATCGAACCCGGGTCCCGTCAGTTCCCAAGCCGACGCTCTATCCATTGAGCCAAACTGGTTCCGGCTGAATGCTCTTAATTTTACTTTAATTTTTAATAATCTTCCGGTGGGGAGCCCTGACCAGTGTAATTCAGTGGATAGAGCGTTGGCCTGCAGACTGAAGGGTTCAATTCTGGTCAAGGGCATGCACCTTGGTTACGGGCACATCCCCAGACGGGGGTGTGTAGGAGGTAGCTGATGTTTCTCTCTCATCAATGTTTCTAACTCCCTTCCTCTCTGTAAAAAATGAATAAAATATATTTTAAAAATTAAAATTAAAAAAAAAAAGATAATCTTCTGCCAGGAAAGTGAGTTGTGGTCCCCAAGTCAGCTTGCATTTTCTGCACTGGCCTTGGCGTGGAGAGGCCGCCACGCCGTCCTGAGCGCCGCCGCCAAGTGCCTGCAGGGGCTGTGAGCATGCGGCACGCTCTGTGTTCAGAAATGGGACCTGCTCGTCACAGCGCGTCTCCTCGGGTGGAGAGAACGAGCAGTGAAAACCAGTTTTTTTGCCCTGAATTCATGAACAGACGTTTTTGTTTTTTTTAATATATTTTTATTGATTTCAGAGAGGAAGGGAGGTAGAGAGAGATAGAAACATCAATGATGAGAGAGAATCATTGATCAGTTGCCTCTACCTCCCAGGCATGTACCCTGACCAGGAATCAAACCGTGACCTCCCAGTTCATAGATTGATGCTCAACCACTGAGCCACACCTGCCGGGCCAGGCTGTTTTCAGACTCAGCTCTGTCCAGGGCCTGCAGAGTGCTGGTGCACACCTCGTTGCCAGCTTTAGAGGCCTCTGGGAAAACACCAGCATCACTCCGCGCCCCGGTGTGGATATTTAATTACACAGATGGGCCTCAAATGTTTTCTTTTATTAAGTCTTGACCTAAACCTATTTTCTTTTTCAGCTCTCCCTAATTATGAATAGTTTCTATGAAATGAATCTTTTTTATGTCGTTTGACTTGTGATTATTGATTATAAATAAGTTAAAAGCATCTCATTCCTGTCTTTTGTCCATCTTTGTATGCTAGACTAGTATAAAAAATTCTTTTCCGTTCAATAGAAATGAATAATCCAGAGAAAATAAGTCTGTCCCAGCTTACACTTATTTTTCAAGAATTTATAAGCGAAATAGCATAATCATCTCAACAAAATTAAGAAAGCAAATCCGTGCATAAGTACTGCCTCCCAGGCTGGGGGGAACGCCTGGCGGCCCGGCCTGGAGTGAGGCTGTGTGGCTGGTCCGCGCTGACTGTCCGCTGCCATCCCCCAGGCAGTGTGCGCCGATGTGGAGAAGAGTGAGCGCGTGGTGGAGTCTTGTGAGGCCGAAGTGGACAAGTTGAGAAGACAAGTCACTCAGAGGAAAAACGAGAAGGAACAAGAGAGACGTGAGTGTCCTATTTATCTTACCTGTCGGTGTCAAGGAAGTGTCTGGTCTCAAACACCAGGCGGTACGTGAGTTACACATCCTTCTCTCAGCCCTGCCAGGCAGGGTGCGGGCGGAGTCCACGTCTCTCAGGCTTTTCAGAGAGAAGGGCCATGTGAACGCCGTGTGCTTTGCCTGGGCAATGGGAACAGTAATAGTAACGGTGACGGTACCGCAGAGGCTGTTTCTGAAGTTTCAGTGGATTCACGTGTAGGAAGATATTTTGTAAATTAGGAAGCACTATTCAAACATAAAACTAAGAGAAATAATCAGTCTCCGCTTTGTTGCTGTTTTCCAGAACTTTCAGGTTGACCGTGTGATGCACGGAGACGCGGCGGGAAGTGAAGTGCAGACAGTGACCGTGTCTTCTCTTCCCACAGGGCTGCAGCAGGCGGCGGGCAGCAGGCAGGGGCCGCCCGAGAGCCTGGAGCCGGCTCTCAGCCCGCGGACGCCGTACCTGGGGTCCGCCACTGACGGCGGCGGAAGTGCACTGGCAGAGGCCGAGGCCTCTGACCCTCCGCCCCCTTATTCAGATTTTCACCCAAACAATCAAGAAAGTACTTTGAGCCATTCTCGAGTGGAAACAAGTGTCTTTATGCCTCGACCTCAAGCTGTGGGTTCCTCCAGTTTTGCCCCCAACAGTGCCGGACTGAAGTACCCCGGAGGCGGAGCGGGGGACAGCGCGGAGGGGACAGACGACAGTGATTATGAAAACCTGATCGACCCGACAGAGCCCCCCAGCAGCGAGCACCCGCACTCCAGGGATTCTCGGCCCACGACACATCCCGACGGGGGCTCCCGGAACGCTCAGACCTCCCAGATTTAACTCCAGAAGGAACTCCATCAGCACCGCTTCTTAATCACGACTGGAGGGTTTTGTGAGAACTAAACCCGGCGGGAGAGCTGTTTCCCCAGACCCCGGGCTCCCGAGGGCATCCTGGGCACACAACTGGCAGCCGTGCCTCCCCCGGCTCCCTGGGCCTCCCCGGCCACCGCGCAGGTGTCCCGACAGAATCACTAAGATAATCAAGTTGCCCTACTTCTGGTGCGATCATGGAAATCCTGGTAAATTCAGGCAGAGAAACCTGTCCGCAGTTTCTGTTCTTTAAAATAAATTGGGAATCAGAGACTAAGCACAATTAGTCTATCAATGTTCTGTAAATCAAAACTTACCTCTTGCACTATCATGCCTTGAAATTCACTTTTTCAAAGGGAAATGAGTTTAGCAGCAGCCTTGAAAGAACCCTCTTTCTGTGACGAGCCAAATTCATCTTTGCCAGAAAAGAAATTGTGATTAATTCCACGAAGCCCGATTGGAACAGCCCGGCTGAACCTTCTCTTGTCTGCATGACTGTAAGGTCTAAGGGAGGGCTTAGTTTTGCCCGTTTCCAGTAGCCTGGTACGTATTGTCACTAAAAATGGTTGCCCTTAACAACACGTAGAAATACTAATTACCAGTCAGTAGCCACCCAAATAAGTATGTCCTCAAACTCCTTTCTCTGGTGGGATGACAGTCACTCTGTGTCGCACCGGCCACATTACGGTCTCTGTTCTGGAGCCTTAGATGAAGGACACGCGGTGGCCACAGGAGGGAGCGCCATCGCGAGCTGAGCGTGGTGATGGACGGGACCCGGCGCCGGTCAGCCGTCACGCGAACGGGACGGGACTCTAGACCGCCTGACAAATCTCAGCGTCAGCTTTATTTGTGGAGGGAAGACATTTAAGAAGCTGTTTGAGAATCGTGGTGAATAAAGACTTATTTTAAGTCTGAATAACCATACTTTTTTTTAAGCTGCCATTTGGAGGAGAATTGTGAATGTCGGACTTCCTGTTAGGATGCTCCTGTATTTTTATTTAATTACTGCTTGTTTCCTAGTTTTGCCCAGAATGTGTGAAACCACGGAACACATCCTGAGCCTGTCAGGCTCCTGGCCAGGGAGTGACCAGACGGCGTGGTGCGGAGGCAGCCACGAGCTGCTGTGGGCCATCACTGCCTTCGCTGTGGACTGGAGCCGGTGGGAGGGAGGGGGCAGCGTCCAAGGCTTCGTGGGGAAGCAGTTCCGTGGCCCGGAGGGAGCTGACTCCCAGCTTGGCCCCAGCGCTCAGTGAACCCTGCGGACTGAGGGAGCCGCCGGGCCGCCCTCCGTCCATGTCCGCTTTGTGGCCTGTCCTGCCGTCCGGCGCCGGCCTCGAATCACGCCGTGTGGCGGGAAGCCTCCCAGGCGTGTTCTGGTGGATCAGCCCCCCTCCCCCTGTGGCCCAGGTCCAGGTGAATTTAAGTTAATTTCTGTAAGTGCCATTGCCATCTCTCTGTTCATGTTTGACCTTCGGAAATACGTTTATTTTATGCCATACTGAGAGCTACGGTGTACACTGACCAGCAGCTAAATGTGACAATAAAGCCCATTTAATCCTGGCACCTCTGTCTTCACGTCTGTATCGCACCCACACTGTCTTGCCTCAGTTTACCCATTCTGGCAGTTCTTAGGAGACAGTACGGTTTTTTAAAAAAATATACTTTATTTTTTACAGAGAGGAAGAGAGAGGGATAGAGAGCTAGAAACGTCGTTGAGAGAGAAACATCGACCAGCTGCCCCCTGCACACCCCCCTCCGGGGATGTGCCCGCAATCAATGTACATGCCCTTGACCAGAATTGAACCTGGGACCCCTCAGTTCGCAGGCCAACGTTGTATCCGCTGAGCCAAACCAGCTTTGGCTCCACTGTGTGTGTGTGTGTGGGACCCTTGAGTTCGCAGGCTGACGCTGTCTCCACTGAGCCACACTGGTCAGGGCTCCGCTGTATTTTTTGACCCTCCCGCCCCCTCCATCCCTTGAAAGTATGGTGCAATGGAAAGAGGATCTGACTGGGAAATCTAGAGCTTTGTTTTCTAATTCCAACCTAGATGGACTGGCCTTTGGTAAGCCACTTACCATCTCTAGGCCAGTGTTTCCCAAACTTTAGACATACGTGTACCCCTTCTATAATTTCCGTAACGCTGAGTACCCCTTGTACTCATGAGAACGAGGAATTAGGCGCAGCTAAGCACGGTGCAGTGCATATCCCCACCAAACTCCGGTGCAACACGTACCCCCACCAGACTCTTCCCGTACCCCTGGGGGTATGTGTACCGCACTTTGGGAAACACTGCTCTAGGCATTCGTTTCCACACCTGCACAGGGTGGGTGGGACTGCCAGGAGCTGGCTGATGGCAGTCACCTGTGGATGTGTGTGTGTGTAAGCAGAGCCGGGCCCAGGCCTCCGGCGATGGCTTCCGTGGGTCTGCGCTGCGGGCAGGCGGGCGGCCCAGGTCTCCGTGTGTTGGGAACGCAGCTCTGTAATGCTAATCACGTGCCCTCAGCTTTAACCTAGTCCTTCTGGGGCTTGCCCCTCCTCTCGCTCACAAGGTATCGTTCCCCGGACTGTCCCGACCACGTTCCGCCTCACATGCCAGGATGGGCATTTCTGTCTGCCCCCTTCCGAGGCCGCAGGCGCCCCAAACATCTGTGCGCTCCGGCACTCGGCTCCCGGCACTCAGGGCAGGCTTGTTAAACTGGGTGAAGTTAGCAATATCCTCCCTTAACAAACCACCTCACCTCACCTCACCCACCGCCCTGTGGCTCTCCGTAACTCACGGGTGACGTGCTCTGCAGCTGCGGGTCGGAGGGGGAAGCTGAGGAACTCAGAGGCGCTTAAAATATTTTCTAAGCGCAACGTTGGTTGAACCACTGTTCTTACACAATAACATGATATTTAATTTGATCTACACTTATGTTAATTACGTGTAAGAATGTGTGCTACGTTTTATAAGCAAGTGGCTGTTGCAATCTAAACTGGATTTATCGAGGAGTCCTGGAGCAAATGATGTTGCTCTGGGAAGGGGGATTACTGACAATTTCCATCACAGGATACAATGTACCGGTGACTGTGGAAGAGGTGTCACAGGAATGGCTGAGGGTACAATGTACCGGTGACTGTGGAAGAGGTGTCACAGGAATGGCTGAGGGTACAATGTACCGGTGACTGTGGAAGGTGTCACAGGAGAGCTACTAAGTTGTTATTCTGCATTGCCCGCCTCCACAGCCCGCTGTATTTATGCATACTCTCAGAATAACACTCGGAATAGTTTTACTAAGTGAAGTCTCCATGCGGGTTTAAAACCCCATTAACCTGAGTGACAGCCTTCTCCTGAAGGGGACGTGTCCAATGCTGGATGCCTCTGAGGGCGCCAGCTCTTCCTCACTAACTTAAAAGGCTTCACAACTTCTTTCCCTTTTGCAATAAATGTTCTTGTGTGTTCCAAGGGAGAATTGGAGACTTCCTGCCCGGGAGGCTAGGGCTTCTGCCTCAGAGGTTGCCACAGAGACAGCGGTGGAAGGAGGAACAGGGAGAGGAGGAAGGGGAGCTGGGAAGAGGGTAGAAGGCAGGGGAGGCAGTAAGAAGGGGAGGGAGAATGAGGGGAATGAGGAGGAGGGGGCTGAGGGAGCTTCTCCACCGCTTCCCCTCACCCGTGAGGACCTGGGGGAACCCATGTCCTAAACCTTCTCCCCCCTCATCTATAAGTATCCAGAGCCCTTAGAAAGGAGAGGAAGGGACGGAGCTTCAGAATGGGGGACGAGAGCCTGGGGGACACAGCTGGGGGTTCTAAGGTGACAAGGGCATCTGTACCTGACTAGGGACAGGGTGTTGGGAGAGGAAGGGAGATTTAGGACTGGGGCACTGAGGCGGAGAGTAAGGACTTAGGGTACACGGATGGGGCAGGGGAGAGTGAGTGCAGATGAGGAGGAGGTCCGGGCTGTGCGCTGGGATGAGGGGAGGAGTGGTTAAGAAGTGGTTTCAGCACGGGAGACAAAGGAGAATGGGAGGAAGGGCTGTAGAGGAGTTCTCTAGGAGGGAAGGAGGCGGGTGGTTTGGGGGCTGGCTGGCCGCAGGTGAAGGTGAGGAATAGGCAGAATGGAATGCTCAGGAAAATAAAGACTAAGGCCTGAGACCCAGGCAAGGATGGGGGCCTGCGGACCTGAGAGAAGCCATCAGAGCACGAGGGCTGACACAGGAAGGGGTATTGGGTTAGGAGACAGCACTTCTGGTTTTCACAGTAACTGCCGGTATCAGAACACGTGTGCTCTACGAACTCTGCAGGTTTGGAGAAGGTAACAGATTTCCCCGAGGTCCGACTGAGGAAGAGCCGGGTCTAACTCCAGATGGTTTCACCCAAAGCGGGAGAAGGATGGAGGACAGAGGACGGTCAGGTTTTGCCCAAAGAAACCAGGACACGCAGCTGCATGAGACCTGGGCCATCGCTGGAACTGGACACAGTACAGGTGGTGCCGTCTAGCTGCCTGGGGCAGTGTTGGGGGGGGTAAGGCAGAGCTCACACCGGGACAAGGCCACCGGATGTGTACCTTCATACTGGTGTCCAGTCTGCAAGGCCATGTGGAAGTTTTCCTTCTTGATTGTCCTGCCATCTGCGAAGCCCACATTTATAGAAGTCCCCACAGTGTTCTCATCACACATCTTGGACCATTTCCTGTCGCCGTGGTCGCAGGACCAGACTCCGCCCTGGCTGCGCCTCTGGGGGAGCGGGGAGCGCACTGGGAAGATGGCACCAGCACCGCCACGGCTCCCACTAGGCCCGCAACCAGTGCCTTCCAGGCAACAGACACCTGGCAGCGTGGGCCCGAGAACCGGTGCACGTCCGTGGACAAGCAGCTGGAGGAGGGAGCCACAGATCACCGACCCTGGCCACCTCCCTGGGTGTTCATTCTGCACCCGGACACTGTGGGTGCGAGCAGGCCCCACCCTAAGGCCAGGCTTCACAATTTTCAAAGAGTCGCTATGTTTTAAGGTTTTTCTAATTCTTGGGGAAAAAACAATCTGAAGTATGAAAAATGCAAGGTGACATCACGCTGGGAAAAGACCAAGCCCACTGGCGGGGAAATGTGGACACACCTGCGGGGTTTCGGCAAATGGCCACGTGGCTGACTCTGGCCATAGGCACAGGAATAAGAGAGACATGCGAACCCACCACCAGTAACATTCTCCTTAGAGCCTGTGCTCTGGGCCTTCTCCTGCAGGATTTCCTTCCGTGCTGTTATTTATTCTCCGCTTAAACTTACAATTTAAAGAAGGGTAAAAATAAAATAAATAAAATAAAATAAAGTAAAGGGTAACCACCTCCGAGTTAGGAAATAGTAGAAAAGAGTTCTTTTAAAAAGTTATTTTATTGAGACACCACTGGCCTATAGCTCCATGGCTTTTCGTCTTGCGTGTAAGTGCACACACACGTACGAAGATTAGAAACACACACCCGGCCCCGAAGGTAAAAATAGACAATAGGAATGAAACGGAAACAACCTCAGCCTTTATCTTCTGGTGTGAGCGACAGCGGGCGAGAGTGGAGCGGGCGCCGCTAGGAAGCCGTCCCTCCGGGGAAGGAGCGCCGGCGGACCTTTCCCGGGGGCTCCGACGCCGGGAGGAGCTGGGAGGGCCCGGCGCCTGCGTGCCCCATCCAGGCCCCGCCCCGCCTGCGTGCCCCGCCCCATCCCGCCTGCGTGCCCCCCCTCCGCGCCCTCCCTACGCTCCCGGCGTCCCCGCACCCGCGAGAGTCAGCAGCCCGAGCTCGCGGCCGCCTCACAATCAGGGCCCGGCGCCGGCGTGACGTCACCGCTCCGCGGCCCGCCTCCTGCGCCCGGAAAGAAGCGGCCGCCCATTGGCTGCGCCGCTGGCGGCCGCGGGGCCAATGACGGCGCGGCGAGCGGCGGGGTCCGGCCTTGACGTTGTGCTGGTCGCCCTAGGGTTTATTTGGCTCCGGGGCCCCGCACCGCCGCCATTACGATCCCGCAGCGTCCGAGGTCGTCCCCCCTCCTTTCGCCCCCGCCCCGCGGCGCCCCGCCGCCCGCTCTGCGCCCCTGTGTCCCCGCCTCCGGCGGTCGGGAGCCGCGCGCGGGCCCGCGGAGACCATGTCCTGACTGAGGGGGCGCGGAGGCGGCGCGGAGGGAGGCGGAGAGGGGCCGGGCTGGGCTCGCCACCGAGGGCAGCTCGGGGAGCCGCCGCCGGGCTGCGAGGTTCGGACGGAGAGGAGGAGCCGGAGCTGGAGGAGGAGCCGCCGCCGCCGCCAGGTAACCGGGCCTCGGGAGGGCGCCCCGCGCAGCCCCGCCGGCCGGGCCTCCTGCCGCCGACCAGGCCGCCGGGCTCCCGGGCCCCCGCCCCGCGCTCCGCGGCCGGCGCGGGAGCCGGGGCCGGGCCTGGTGCGGCCGCCGCGCCCCCGTGTGCGCCTCCCGGTGCGGGGCCAGCCGGCCGCCCGGGGTGGGTCCGCCGCTTGTTTACAGACCGCGATGCCCCGGCTGGACGCGCCGCCGCCTCTTCCGCCAGCTCCCCGCCCCTGGCTCTCCGCCGGCGGAGCGGGGCCGCCGGTGGCTTGCCCCCCAGGCCCGGCGGGAGGCCCGGGAGGCCAGGCCCGTCCCTGCCGGCGCGGCCCCCACGCTCGCGTTCCTGTCTCCGGCGCCGCCTCCGCCCCGCGGCACCTGGGCTGCTGCCAGCGCCGTCCTCGGGGAGAGGGGGGCCGGGCCGGGCGCCGCCGTCCGCTCCGCCGGGCGCGGTGGGAGCGAGCAGGCGGCTCCCTGGGGCGGCCGGCGGGACCCTGCAGACAACAGGGCCGCCAGCGCACCTGCTCGGGCGCAGGCCGGCGGCGAGGTCCGGTCCCCGGGAAGCTTGGGCCGGGCCGGCCCCGCGGACGTGCGCGGGGCTTTGAAACGGGCTGGGGGAGGGTCTGCATTCCCGGGCCCCGCAGGCTGCCGGGGTGAGCGCCACCCTCTGCCCCGGGCCTGGGTCTGTCCGCCGCCGAGACCTCCCCGCCCCGGCCGCGCCGCACAGTGAGGTTCGGTCCGGAGCGGTGCCGGCGGGCCCTGTTGGGGTGGCGGCCTTACCCCTCGGGTGACCTCCAGGGGCCCCTGCCTGGCCCAGCGTGGATGACTCAGTGTACAAGCCACAAGCCAGGGAAGCCATCAGGAGTTTTGGTCTTGGCTTGTGCCCTGGGCCTTGGGGAAAGTCACCCGAACTACGTGAGAAGCCCAGCTGGGTCCCTCGTCTCTGGCGGTTGGATGAGGTGGTTTGTAGAGAAGTGGGCAGCCAGCTCCTCCTCGAGGCTTGGTGTCAGGATGAGACGTGCAGGCAGCCACCTCCTTATGCCCAACTCTCTCGACGCTGCTTCTGTTGGTGCTGGGAGACCAAGAGGACTGTCCTGGGGTCTTCATTTGGGGTTTGTTTCCGTGGACGTTCCAGCACCTTTTATTAGCGCTTCAGACACCCATGTGCTTACCCGTGGTATGTGCTTAGGGTAATGTCCGGCTCTGTACACTGGTAAGGTAATGGCCCAGCTCACATCCAGTCTGAGGACTGACATGATGAGGGAACTCAGCCTAGGCGTCAGTATTGGGCCGATTGCCTCCGGATGTACAATCCATAAGTGAGCGCAGTGTCGCCGCTCTATTCTGACTTTGCTCTGATGCTGAGGGGCGCTGTCGGTGAATGGGAGCTGAGGAGGCCGACCCTGCACCTGTTTAACACCCACCGGCTTTGGAGGATTGCTGTTCATGCCTCCCCTCTCCCCTCCCATAGCAGCCTCGCACCGGTTTTCCCCCTGATGCGGTGTTTCCTGTGGAATGTTTGTGCTCTGCTTATGCTTTGGGTAAATAAGATCCTGCACATCTTAACATTCTCACCTCCTCGGATCATAACATAAAACCTTCCAGAACACTCCTAACCACATACAGAGTCAAGTTTAAGCTCCCTGGTGTGGTGGTCAAGTTTCTCTATAATCTGGTCCCTTCTCCAGACTTAACTTCCTTTTTCCCTTTGTGAATCCTTAGTTCCAGCAAATGAGCTTATTTGTCGTTACTGCGAAGGGCCTCCAGTTGGCCTTTCTTTATGCCCCTTTCTCTGTTTTAAACCCTCTTCCGCTTGTATCCATGGATGTGCTTTACCCTGGGCTCAGTTGATGCTTGTCTCCTGAGAGACCTTTTTGCCGACTTCAACCCCAAGGGATCTATTCATTCCTCTCTTGTGTAGGACTCTCCTCTTTCTTCTTTTTCTAGCACATGCCAGCCTGCATTTCAGTTTGTCTTTTTATAAAGTCTTTATTCTGCTTCCTAATAGATTTTTAAGATCTCTGAGAAATGGATACGAAACCTAAACTCCATAGAGACAGACCATATATCATATATTCAGCAATGAAAATGTGCAGGCTTAGTCTCAGGAAGTATTTTTGGTCATGGAGATATTTTAGAATTGCAGTTTGTATTGAAGTTTCTGGAACTTTGATGATTTGTGAGACAAAATATTTGAAATTATGGCGGTCTCTGAAAATGTTAGGGGGTGTGTGTGCTCAGTGTGTTTATATGTGTCATCAGCACGGTTTTATTCCTGCAGAGGATGCTCACCATTTTGATAATGGTCATGTCTAATGAAAAGTACTGCAGTTCATCGTTTGCTTCGGATTTGAGTCTGGGACAGTGGCTGCTGTTGGAGGTTGGCAGCAGTGACACTCGGGGTGTGTGGGTAACGTGGAGCCTCCTGGGAAAGCAAAGGATCTGCAGTCCCAGTTTCCATCCTTCACCTCAGATGCTGGGGCAAGTGTCACTGATCACGAGGCAGATGGACTCCCAATGTGTGATTCACGGCTACCTGTCAGCACCGAGTGAGGAACACACGGCCAGCTGGGCCTATGCCTTTGTGTGCCGCGGTGACACATGTCATCATGGGCCCGTGGGTGGATGCGGATGTGGTGGGAAAACAGGAGTGTGTGTTTCTGTTGTGCTGTGGGTGTGAGTAAAAGGCCGGGCATTTGATGGCACATTTATGCATTCATAGTCTCAGCAGTAAACCATCTTGATGCGTCTATGTGGAAACGTGTCCTCTTCCTCCAGTTCATCAAACTATCCCTTAAAACTGACTGGTTTTTAGGAAGTAGTTTACGTAACTTTTAAAGCTTCAGAAACCTTTTAGCCTAATTGAAGCTAAAATTAGCCTGTTAATAAACTTTACAGAAATGCTAGACATTTTTACATACACTACTTAGATTTGTGAAAGATTCTTTCATAGAATTATACCAGTAATTCTGCCTCTTGAGAAATCTGGATCAGTTAGCATTCTTTGCTTTCTGGAAGGGTGGTATTTTGAGATTTTTGACACGAACCATCAGTTTGAATTTCAAAATGGATTTGGTCTGGTAAATTGAGTAGAAATTTGATACTTTTCAGCCTAGTGAAATTGAACTTTTTAGTAGTGAAAAAAGAGTTCTCTCTTTATAGTTACCCTCTCCTCAACCAACACAACACTTTTCTTTTTTTTACAACACAATTTTTGTCACCCTTTGTCAGGTCAGATCTTTATGTGGATTGAATTCACATAAATAAAAAATATTTGGCCCTGGCTGCTGTGGCTCAGTGGGTCGGGGTCCTGTGCACGGAGCCGTCCTGGTTGGATTCCCGGTCAGGGCGCATGCCTGGGTTATGGCCCATTCCCAGTAAGTGGTGTGCAGGAGGCAGCTGATGGAAGTTTCTCTCAATCTCCCTTCCTCTCCCTAAAATCAATTTAAAAACCATTAAAAAATATTTGGGTGGATAAGGCATTATTGGAAATCAGTTGCGGATTGTGGGGAAGGGAAAAACGCCCCTTCCCTCCCCTGGTTCTTTTGGCTCGCTGAATAAGCACATCAGCAGGAGGCAGGTTGGCAATATAAAATCACATTTAATCATCTGCAGAGGTTCAGAGGTAATAGAAAGGCTGGTTGAGGTGTCTGAGGCATTCGAAGCGAGGGCTGAGGGAAGGTGCCTTGGATTTGAGTTAAGTAGAAGCTCACCTGCCCTGCAGATGGGTGGAAAGAAGTTACCTCTGATAATTTTTCCAATTCCGGTTTCCCTGGGCAGCCCCAGGGCTGTGGCAGAAGCTTCTCCTGAGCCTGAAGCTAACATTGCTTTAGCTCACAATAATCTGCATGCCACGGAGGCGCATTTTGTGGGGGCTTGCTCGGCCCCCCACAGTATCCACTTGTTTCTTTTTAAATAACAGCTTCATTGAGGTTTATCTCATTCACCCTAAGTTCACCCTTTTTTTTTTTTTTTTTTTTTAAATATTTTTTATTGATTTTATACAGAGAGGAAGGGAGAGAGAGAGAGAGTTAGAAACATCGATGAGAGAGAGTCATCAATCAGCTGCCTCTTGCACACCCCCTACTGGGGATGTGCCCGCAGCCAAGGTACATGCTCTTGACCGGAATCGAACCCGGGACCCTTCAGTCCCCAAGCCGACGCTCTATCCATTGAGCCAAACCGGTCCCGGCATAAGTTCACCCTTTTAAAGTATGCTGTCATTGGCTTTTAGCGCACTCACAGAGCTGTGTGGCCAGCGACGCTGTACAGAACATTTTCATCCCCTTAAAGAGACCCTGCCCATTAGCAGTCGTTTCTTCCTTTGCTTGAGCTCCTGGCAACACGACTCTCTGTCTGTCTCTGTGGGGTGCCTATTCTGTACATTCTTACATGTGGAGTCAACAATCTATGACCTCTTCTGTCTGGCTTGGAAGCTGTAGCATAATGTTTCAGGGATTACCGGTATGACAGCATGTATCAGTGTTTCATTCCTTTTTGTGGCTGAATAGTTAATATTCCATTGAATGTTTATCTCTTTGTTGATTGGACATTTAGATGTTCCCACTTTGTGTCTGTTATGAAATGTGTGTACAGTTTCTGTGTGGGCACGTGCTTCATTTTGCTGGGTCAGATGGTCACTGTTTACCCTTGGAGGGACTGCGGGCTGGGCTCCAAAGCGGTTGCCCCATTTCACCTGTTAGCACTGAGGAGCCACATGTCACCCTGCCTGTGGCAGCCTTCCTAGCCAAGTGCCATCTCCCCGCTCCGATTTGCATTTTCTTCCCGGTACTGAGCATCTTTCCATGTTCTCACTGGCCATTTGTGTCTCTTGGTTAGAGAAGTGTCCATTGTAATCCTGCTCCATCTCAGTTGGGTTATTTATCTTTTATTGTAGAGTTGTAAGCATTCTTTATATATTCTGGATAAAAGTCCGGTAAGTGATTTGCAAATATTTTCTCCTGTGTTTTGGT